CAGGAGCCCCTGCAACCCAAACCGCCCCCTGGGCAGGGGGGGGACAGAAGGACAGGGAGTTGAGAGGGCAAGGCGAGGGTATGTGTGTGGGGACGGCTGGTGATCTGCAGTGGCTCCAGGGATTTGGCAGATGAAGGAAGCGAACCTGTCCCAACAGCGATAGGAAAAACCCAGGGCATTGCTGGCCGCAGGTGGGCAGCCCTGGTTGCACGTATCAGGCGAGAGTAAAAGGCCAGTGAAGGTCGGGGCAGGATCAGGCCAGGGTGGGCTGTTGCTGTGGGGGAGCAGGACAGCTGCTGAAGGATCAAGGATGGGGCCGTATGGGAAGTGGGGCCAGGACGGGGGATGTTTGGGGCAGCTGACAAGCGTGGCTTGGCGACCGGTGGCAGTGACACTGTTAGTGCTGGCTTCCTGTGAACGCTATGGTTTTGCTTTCTATTTCTGTTCCCCTGTTTAGCAAGGAAGCTGCTTACATCATCTCCCATCCCGTGGGCTGCCTTCTTAGGAGACCCCAAGAGACAGGGAATTTGCAGCTGTGGGGGTGATGAAAGGACAGAAATGAAGTCTTACTCCCTGGGGGTCCCGCATGGTTCTTGGTGGCCCCATGTCCCCTGGTGGGGCCCCCCCCACCAGGGCTCCCGGCCCCATCCTCCAACTCCCACTGGGGTCTGGAGGCTTTAACCTCACAGACCGTTTGGAGAAGTGTTTGGGGACCCACACATGCTGCTGGAGACAGCCACAGCGGGCGTTTGCAGGGGGGGCGAGCGTGAGAGTGAGCACAGGGCAGTCAGGGAAGTGTCAAGGATGCCAGCGTGCAACAGGGCTGAACTGAGGGGCTGCGTGTGGAAGGCAGGGGGGAGGATGAGGGTGCAGTGCTGAGGATGAGGGTGCAGGGGTGAGGATGAGGATAAGGATGCAGGGGTGGCTTTTGATAGAAAGCTGAAACACCAGGCATGTCAGCCAGTTGGGCTTGGCTGGTACAGGCATACCCTGGATAGGCTCTGGTCCGTGCAGGCTCCAGGAGCCGTGGGGGCTGAGAGCAGCCCCAGAGCCCAGTAGGGAAGGAGGGAGTGGAGCAGAGGCTGAGGAAGGCTGGGGAAGGGCGGGCACACCGTGAGAGGAAGAGGATGGTGGACAGGCCCTGACAGTTTCCCGGGGCGCTGTGTGCTCTCTACCCCAAAGTCCCTGCCCCATCCAACAGTGTCTTCCCTCAGCAGCCCTGCAGCCCGCAGGCAGCACCTTCCTACGAGCCCTTCATGTCTCTCCCTGCCCGCACAGCTTCTCCCCAGGGTGCTCAGGGGCACCTGAGTTAGGAGCTACAGATTAGGGAACTTGTGAGTCAGACACTTCATGAGTTGCTGAAGTGATGAATTAGTGAGTTCATGTGTTAGATGGGTCCATGCAAAGGGCATTGGGCCTTTGTTTGACGTGTTTCTTTGTTTTCTTTCCTAATGAGCTGGTAAAATAAAGTTTAACGTACAGGCGTTGTCCTGTGAATTTGAGTGGCTGAAAGGAGGCTTATCCTATTCCACCCTCGGGCTGATGGGGTGACAGCCAGTTAGTGAGAAATACATGCATATGTACATATTTACAGCAGGGATCCCTCCAGTATCTGGCCTTAGCCACCCAGTCTGCTTAGTAGCTGTCCCAGGAGCCCCAGGTCCCTCCAGTATCCAGCCTGGACTTGGGACCACCCCAACACCGCAGGCTCCCAGCTTATGACCATGGTCCCCTCTGCGGGGGCTGGCACCCAGCCCTTCCCCATATGTGCACCTAGGACCAACCCCCCCACGCAGAGCAGTAGCTGGCAATGGAATTTAATGGGAAGACAGCGCAAACTGAGGTGCAGAGATGCAGGATGAGGCGAGGTGAGTGTGCTGGCTTGCCTGCACGCAGCCTTCACCCCGACCCCGGGCCATGGGGCATCACGCTGCTCTACACCAGGGATGCTGCCTGGGGCCACCCACCACAGGGCCCCTGCGGGTGCCCCAAACAGGTGCACAGGCAAGAAGGCACCTGCTGAGGCCCAAAGCCGTGGCCGGGAAGCGGGATTACCCAGCTGGCTGGGTCCTCCCCTTGTCCCCCCAGCCCCGTTCCTCCCAGCCCCTGAAAC